TAGGAGTATGCTAGTGTTGGGGGGGGGGTGTTTGCGTATAATCATGCACAACCTTTTATTATTATTTCAAGTGGGAATACATTTTGATTTCTAAATGCCCTGCTATAAAGATTAAATCCTTGTATGTGTGTATGTGTGTGTGCGTGCAGCTCAACAATAAAGCTTTTAAAAGACACTGATCCCTGGTGCAAGGCCCACTTTAAAGCAAGTTTTACTTTTGGTTGTATTTTCTTTGTATATTAAAAACATTTATTTAACTTGTTGCAGTTTGAAGTTTAAAAAAAGATTTCCAATGTGTATGCTCAACATTAATCATTAAAAAGTTTGCAGCGAATGAAACTGCTTACTAGTTCTTCTGTTATGTTGGTATGCAGAATAGTGCCTTGAATTCTAATGCTTTATTTCTTCAAATAAAAATACTTGGTCTTGTACTACACAGTTCTGTTTCCAAACCTCCTCTAAAAGTACAAAAAGGGCTCCAAATATCAGTGGTTTTTTAAAAATCAGGTCAGTTGTATAGCAGGTGGCTGTTACGCATTATGTCCCATGAGCCAGTTGCTTTGCCCTACAATGTATTACATTTACAGTTCCTTGCAGCTTTGCCAGGTGAATTTTAGCATTAGTTAATAAACTCCAGAGGGACGCGGGTGGCGCTGTGGGTAAAAGCCTCAGAGCCTAGGGCTTGCCGATCGAAAGGTCGGCGGTTCGAATCCCCGTGGCGGGGTGCGCTCCCGCTGCTCAGTCCCAGCACCTGCCAACCTAGCAGTTCGAAAGCACCCCCGGGTGCAAGTAGATAAATAGGGACCGCTTACTGGCGGGAAGGTAAACGGCGTTCCGTGTGCTGCGCTGGCTCGCCAGATGCAGCTTGTCACGCTGGCCACGTGACCCGGAAGTGTCTCCGGGCAGCGCTGGCCCCCGGCCTCTTAAGTGAGATGGGCGCACAACCCTAGAGTCTGTCAAGACTGGCCCGTACGGGCAGGGGTACCTTTACCTTTACCTTTAATAAACTCCAGACCAGTTCTTTAAATTGCATTTGCTGATTTATTTAGAAGCAATCCATGCAAAACCATTTCCGATTCAAGGTAGTTTTGAATCTGGTAGTTTTTGGTATTTCTTCTTAGACAAGGCATTCTGCACGCTTGCAGAGTTAAATGTCCCCCTTCTTCCTGCGGCCCATAATGTTTGCTTGAAGCCACTCCTGAGAGTCAGAGATCCTTCATAGTTGTAAGCTTGCATTGTTACTAGCACAGCAAACAAATAGTCAGGTGGTTTTAAATCTTGCTAGCCTGACTGGCCTATTGACCACAGCAGTATTTTAAATAAAGGATAACTCCTGGTTTGTGTTAATTTGAAAGAACCTATCTTGCAAATATGGTAATTCTTCACTAGTAAATGTAGTTGGATTTTTCTTATATAACTAAAATGCAATGATAGTCTTTTACAGTGAAGATTGGTTTTGCACATAATTTAGCTGCAGAATCTAACATTATTGAAAAACATCAGCAACTCATATATTTGCAATATCAGGCCTTATATCCTTGTATAACCAGTGTCAAGTTCACAGTGTTTTGATACTTTGCTGGCACAAGAGTGCTTATATCATAGAATCATAGAATTGGAGTAGGGAGGGATACCGAGGGTAATCTAGTCCAATTCCCTACAATGCAGGAATACCCCAATGAAAACATTGCTTTCTTGACAAAATTATATAATACATTTAGCATTATTATCAAAACCTGAATGCAAAGCAAAAACTTTAAAGGTAAGATTGGCAGTAATCATTCTTACTATACCATTCTGTTTATGCATTACATTAGTAGGATATGACACATACAGACATATTTTGGTTAACCTTGATGATGAAATTATATTCTTTTCTATAGAACTGATGCACCATTATGTTGAGATAAATTACTCTCCATAGCACCAACTGCTTAATCTCCAGGTGCTTTTAGTTCACCAGAGGAATTCAAGCCGATTTCAATCACTGCTAGCTCAGCACTTTAGCAATCAAGCTGTAAATCCACTATACAAAAATAGGTTGTCAGCAAACAAAGGCAGCTATTTAAACTGAATGCAGGGAAGTGCCCTTATTGGAGGTTAGAATAATTAATATTCCAGAATACAGTCATTTCCCTAAGTGCTTATAACGCCTAATTTGTTGCATTACTGCTGGTAAGATTGTTTTCGGAACTGACCTATTAGGATATTTAATAATCCACTCTTAGGTGTGTTGAATTATCCTGTAATTTTTATGTGTCTCTGTAGAGTTGCCAAGAGTCAATCAAGAGATGCATCTTCATAATAAGCCATGAAAAGATGCCTCTCTTCTTCTCCACACTCTTTGTAAGAGTTGCACACTCAGTCGGATGACAGGAGCAGCAGCTACATTGGCTCTAACTACTTCAAGCCCCTTTAAAGTACAAGGATGATTTTTTAGTTGATAACCAAAAAGCCAATTATCATGTAGGTTATCTTCAAGGTAAGTCATGGTAGCACTTCTTGGACTTGTGTGCCTTCCCCTAAAGGTAAAAGTAAAGGGACCCCTGACTGTTCAGTCCAGTCGCAGATGACTCTGGGGTCGCGGCGCTCATTTCGCTTTACTGGCCGAGGGAGCCAGCTTTTGTCTGCAGACAGCATCCGGGACATGTGGCCAGCATGACTAAGCCGCTTCTGGCGAACCAGAGCAGCGCATGGAAACGCTGTTTACCTTCCTACCGGAGTAGTACCTATTTATTTACTTGCACTTGACGTGCTTTCGAACTGCTAGGTTGGCAGGAGCAGGGACCGAGCAACAGGAGCTCACCCCGTCGCGGGGATTCGAACTGCTGACCTTCTGATCAGAAAGCCCTAGGCTCTGTGGTTTAGACCACAGCACTACCTGCTGTGTGCCTACTGCGTGCCTAATCTTTAATATCCCAGGCCCTGTGTCTGATATGTTTACAGCAGTAGGCCCCACTCCCTTAACCCATCCACTGTGAAGAGTGGAGATTGCTTGAGCAGTTGCTACTTCATAATCTTCACTTGGAGCTCTAGTTCTCATTAAAGGTGTATGCAATGTTGAGCCAGACCCATTCATTTTGTTAGACATTAATTTCATTCAGCAATGCATCTGACATTAAACTACAGAAATGGGTTGCTAGTAAGAAAACATTCTCTGTTGATGTATGGATGGGATAAGAGAAACAGTTTAGATGAAGCTCCTGGGCCAGGTCCATAAATTTCTTTAGAATAGGTCCTGCCCAGCAGCAGTAATTGGCCTCTTGGGTGTTAAGTGACAGAACTCAGTGGTCACTCAATCCCAACCTCTATTTTTTTCCTTCTAAATACCTTAGCGTCCCAGGAAGCCACATCTATCCCCACCATTGCGCTTGGAAGACTCTACGAAACCATCACTAAGCACCATAACAGTAGCATTGTACCGTTGAGCACTGAAAGATGCAATGAGGCCAGTAAGCTCCTCAATACTAGCCAGATAGGCAATCAGTGTTCCTAAGCTAACTCCAGATGGGGAACGTCTCTGTGCCCCACTCCTACCATGAATCGGAAGAAATGCCATCCTGACTTAGCCGCCTGGCTTCTTGACACAGTGAATCAAGCAGCTTCCACCAGTCCTACTTGGAGTAAGCAAACACACAAGAATTGTAAACACATTTGAAGAAGGCAGAGCTAACCCATCAATAGCTGTATCTCTCGTTCTTCAACACAATGCAAAGGAAGGATTTCACAGAGTTGATCAGTCCCATTTCTTTGTTTTCCGCCTATAGCTTCTGTCTGTCTGTCTCTCTCCAAGGATGGTGGAGAAGAAAACCTGTGTGTGATAATTAGTTCCTTTTCCCACTCTGGTCTTGCATTTGGGGGATGTTTTCCCCTTAGTACCCCAGACTACATTAACAAGTGAAAGCATCAGGGAAATGGAGGCAGTTGTCTGCATTGTAGCTAAGTTGGACTTATTCAAGTAGGTGGTTTTCTGGCAGGATTTTGGTCAAAAGCATCAAAACTCTTCAGCTTAATCAGGGGGACAAAGAGAATTTGCTTACAGCTCTCAAGCTAGTGGATGAAACGGGATCAGTAGCCTATTTTTCAGAAGTGTTTGATTACATGATGAGATAGGATGGAGCCTCCTCAAAGGTAGGGTACATGGAGGACCCTAGTAAAATGTTTATATACTTTCCATGGTATTCTGAAAGTGTTACAAGTTCACTTTCTACATGCCCTGGTCATGGTGCTTTCAAAGATTTTCTCCCCAGAGGTTGGCCTCAAGAAGCCAACAGATAGAAGATAACATTCACTGTGTTCTGCACTTGCTATTCAAGCTTCCTCGAGAACCTCAATATGCTCTAGGACAGCTATCTTGTCTTCTAAGTAGCTTAAAGCTCTGTATCCCCTGACAACAACCATTACAACTAATCTTCATAAAATACTTCCCTGCACATATATCTTCAAACTTTGTTTTAGTTTTCTTCAAAAGGTTTTTACATCCACATACAATCTGGAACCCTCTATGGAGGTGAAAAGTTTATGGTTAGACCAAACTTAAGGAAACAGTCCCTGAAGGTGCTAAATCATCTATCTGATCGTCACATCTTTTCTGCCAATCTTTTCATCTTCAGTCTCAGTTCAATCCCTCCTGGCCCAGGTACAAGTTTCCATTCCAGGGAGGTCATGGAAGAGATCAGAGATCTGAAGATAACCTATTGAGCCTCGCCCCCACTTTGGAATTAGGGGAGGAATCACGCAAGTTCAGTGAACAATGGAGCCTTTTCACCAAAGTCAAATGGAGACTTACACAGGGTGTTAACTCTTAAAGACTAATACATTTATTAAGGTATAAGGTTTTGTGGTCGAGGGTCCACTTTCAGATACAATGGATGCTAGAGTTCTGCAATTTAGGCAAACATGGTTGCTTTTGCATGTAGTCAAAGCACACCTGTCTATTTTTTTTAGCATTTCCCAGCCTGCCTTATTAATTTTGTCTGATGAAAAGAGAGACACAGATATGTTATTAAAGAGTCTATTTATTTCACCAGCTGGATTACAGGCTACACAATGAGAATATTTTGTTATCTTAAAAACTTAAAGCAGTAACTAATTAACCTTTCACAGGTAGATAGTAAAGGTGTGGCACTTGCTTCCTTCAGTTGTCTTTTAGCATGAAAAGGTTCAGTTCAGCCCATTTGGAATGTTGCAAGACTAGCCTTTGAATCCTCAGAGTTCATTGTTCCTTCTTTCTGTTTTGAAGAATTCTGTGCGAACACACCCTTCACTGGCATAGTCTTCCTAGCTTTCAGCCATTTTGTCAAGAACAAGAAGAGGTGCGAGAATTCTGGTCTTATTGGTTTCTACAATGCAACCATTTAATACCATTTCATCCAAAATTATGTGCACTCTGTCCAATTTGAACATGATCTGTGTACATATAAAGTTAAGGAATTTCTTTTGGAATAAGCAGGACTAAACTGGAAAATGCCAGAACTCAAATTTGTTTTTTTTAATCTAAGTGCTTAACAGATGAACTTTCTAATGAGTTTTTTGGTAACTGCAAAAATTATAACATTGTAACTCCAGTTTCACAACCAACTATACAGCTATTGTGTATAATGGTATGTAAATTAAAAGAGCTGTAGAAAAGAGAAACAGCAGAAGTAACAAATGATGTTGGTTAACACCAATCTTATTCTAACAGCTACCAGCCTATTGTGACTTGCATTGAGAGAGCCAATCCAGAATAATTGTGTAAAGTCTCACTGAAAAGCTTGATTTTCAGATTAATTTTTAAAGTGCTTCGATATGTTTAGCAGTTGCTTAGCAAAGTGACCATTCAGAACACAAGGGAAATAATGGTTAACAAATTCTGCTAAGGCAAATCAGTGACAAGAAATCAGTCTCATGTTTCCCCAATATGTTCCTTGGAATTGTAGTCTGAGGGGACAGAGATCCCTAGTCCCCTATTTTCCCCATAGTAGTGCAATTATATGTGTAAATGAGGTGCTGAAAAGACCTTCTTCTTCTGCTTAAGTGCTCAAATGAAAAATTTGTGTATCCAGCTTTCAGTCCCTCACGGTTCCAGACATGCCTTAACTTGCAAACAGCTGTACTGAGAAAACATCACAACTGCTTGAAAAAACCCTTCCGATCGTTTGACCTGCTGAAGGTATCTTCTTACTGCATTAAAGTATTTACCACATATGGTGGAAATACGGGTGCACTGAGATGTAAGAATCCATACCAGCCTTTCCCAACCTGGTGCTCGCCAGATCTTTTCAACTAGATCTTTGGGACTACAACTCCCATCAGCCCCAGCCAGAACAGCTATGTAATCTGAAATTTAAAAGAGGTCCGCAGAGATCTAACATTTCAGTACTACTAAGTTAGCTAGCAAACAGCTGGAACACGTTCTGTATTAATCTCAGCCCTCCCCACCTGTAAACAAAACGAAGCCCCCTGTACAAAGAGTAAAGAATCTCAACATTTGCTTCCTTGGTTCAGGATCTGATGAGACATGCATTCCGTCTTACTGTCAAGTGTTTTTAAAATGTTTCTACAGAGATAACTGGAGGTTGGTATTATGACTGGAAGCCCAAAGAGGCTTCTTTTCTCCCCCAGTGAGATATGAGCTGCCCCACCCTGTTGGGCAGCATTCCACAACTAGCTACTCTTCATTCCACCAACAAGTACTTCATCTGCTATTGGGAATCAAGTGACTGCAGCTCATAGTGCGTCCCTCCCCACTCAGGCTGTTCCTTCCTCATCTCCCAGAGCTGCTCTTCCCAAAGGTGCAGGGCAAGTTGCTTGGCTCTTTTAGGCACGCTGGGTCCTCTTGCGAAAGCATTGCAGCTAAACGATGCCACTCCTTTGCAGACAGCATCGGTCCAACGCCCAACCCTCACTTAAAAATGAATCAGAATCTAAAGGGCTTGCTTATCTTTTTAAATGAAATTTTACCAAAACTTTCAGAGAGTAAACCAGGAATTTCCACATCAGGATTCTACTGCAGTCATATATTGAAAGAATATTAATTGGCTATATGCAGGGAGATAAACTAGCGACAAACCTGTACAGTACTAATGTTTGCTAATCTTTTGGGGAAACCAATATAATCAATATTACTACTTCCTTTTTATAGATGGGAACCTTAGGCTGCAATGCTCAGTTCAGCTGGGCTAAACTGAGTGGCAGAGCCATTACCATATCTGAAGCCCACATGCTTGCCCTGGCCAGAGTGGAAGGTGGTAATTTGAGCATTTCAGCTGCACTAGCTCCAGTTGAGAGGCCCAGATCAGGCCCACTGCTAGTAGCTTAGTTGGCCTAACTCCACCCTTGGGATTTTAAATCTCAGTGATCTGAGGTTAAGATATATCACTAAACCTGTAACTGTATATTAATTAATTAACTAACACCGCTGTCCCTTTCATTCTCCAAAGAGCGCAGGTCACTATATATTATCTTACCCCTTCCCATTTTATCCTTACAACAATCCAGTGAGGTAGGTTAGGTTGAAAGAGAGGGACTGGCTCAGGTCCACCCAGCAAACTTTATGCTGAGTATGAACTTGAACATGCATCTTCCTTGGTAACTACGGCTGGTCACTAAACATTTTGTGTATTTACCATTGAAGGAACAGGCTGTAATAATACATGATTTTTTTAAAAAAATAAAAGACACAGGATTGCACAAAATGGGTGCTATACATATAAGGGTGTTTGCTTGTTAATATCTGTTCTAAATTGCTATGTTCAATCTGGAACTTCATGGTACTGGGAGTGAACTATATTATGTGAAGGTACTATGGAGTATTTGAGGACTCCACCTTCTTTCTCTCACACACATAAGGCAGCTGAGGAACGGAAGAGAGAAAAGTTTGAGTTCACCAAGAAGAGAGAAGAACGGGGGGTGGGGTGGGTTGTAACAATATTTGAGCATGCCTAGAAGGCCGTTGGAAAAGACCCTGTTTCGTTACCTTCTATTTGCACCCATTTCTCCTGGTTAAAACTGGGGGGGGGGTGTAGAGCCCTGTTTAGTAGTAGTAGTAGTAGCAGTAGCAGTAGTAGTAGTAGTAGTTAGTTAGTTAGCTAGTTAGTTAATAAATAAATAAATAAATAAATATTAATTATTTATACCCCGCCCATCTGGCTGGGTTTCCCCAGCCACTCTGGGCGGCTCCCAACAAAACACTAAAATACAATAATCTATTAAACATTAAAAGCTTCCCTAAACAGGGCTGCCTTTAGATATCTTTTAAAAGTTTGGTAGTTATTTTTCTCTTTGACATCTGGTGGGAGGGCATTCCACGGGGCGGGTGCCACTACCGAGAAGGCCCTCTGCCTGGTTCCCTGTAACCTCACTTCTCGCAATGAGGGAACCGCCAGAAGGCCCTCGGCGCTGGACCTCAGTGTCCAAGCAGAACGATGGAGGTGGAGACGCTCCTTCAGGTATACTGGACCGAGGCCATTTAGGGCTTTAGAAGTCAGCACCAACACTTTGAATTGTGCTCGGAAATGTACTGGGAGCCAGTGTAGGTCTTTCAAGACCGATGTTATATGGTCTCGGTGGCTGCTCCCAGTCACCAGTCTAGCTGCCGCATTTTGGATTAGTTGTAGTTTCCGGGTCACCTTCAAAGGTAGCCCCACATAGAGCGCATTGCAGTAGTCCAAGTGAGAGATAACCAGAGCATGTACCACTCTGGTGAGACAGTCCGCAGGCAGGTAGGGTCTCAGCCTGCGTACCAGATGGAGCTGATAAACAGCTGCCCTGGACACAGAATTGACCTGTGCCTCCATGGACAGCTGCGAGTCCAGAATGACTCCCAGGCTGCGCACCTGGTCCTTCAGGGGCACAGTTACCCTATTCAGGACCAGGGAATCCTCCACACCTGCCTGCCTCCTGTCCCCCAAAAACAGTACTTCTGTCTTGTCAGGATTCAACCTCAATCTGTTAGCCGCCATCCATCCTCCAACCGCCTCCAGACACTCACACAGGACCTTCACCGCCTTCACTGGTTATGATTTGAAAGAGAGGTAGAGCTGGGTATCATCCGCATACTGATGAACACCCAGCCCAAACCCCCTGATGATCTCTCCCAGCGGCTTCATGTAGATGTTGAAAAGCATGGGGGAGAGGACAGAACCCTGAGGCACCCCACAAGTGAGAGCCCAGGGGTCTGAACACTCATCCCCCCCCCTTATGAACACGGCTTAGGAGGAAGGAGCGGAACCACTGTATAACAGTGCCCCCAGCTCCCAGCCCCTCTAGACGCTCCAGAAGGATGTTATGGTCGATGGTGTCAAAAGCCACTGAGAGATCCAGCAGAACTAGGAAACAGCTTTCACCTTTGTCCCTAGCCCGCCGGAGATCACTGACCAGTGCAACCAAGACAGTTTCAGTCCTATGATGAGGCCTGAATCCCGACTGGAAGGGATCCAAATGGTCCGCTTCTTCCAGGCATGCCTGGAGTTGTTCAGCAATCACTCGCTCAATCACCTTGCCCAAGAATGGAAGATCTGAGACTGAGCGATAGTTAGCCATATTGGCAGCATCTAAAGATGGTTTTTTAAGAAGCGGTTTGATAACTGCCTCTTTCAGCAGGTCTGGGAAGGCTCCCTCACAGAGAGAAGCATTCATGACCCCGCGAAGCCCATCGCCCAGCCCTTCCCGGCTAGCTTTTATAAGCCAGGATGGGCAAGGATCAAGGAGACAGGTGGTTGGTTTCACTCGTCCAAGCAGCCTGTCCACATTTAGGGAAGCTTTTGATGTCTAACAGACATTTTAATATTCTGTTGGAAGCCGCCCAGAGTGGTTGGGGAAACCCAGCCAGATGGGTAGGGTATAAATAATAAGTTGTTGTTAATTATTGTTGTTGTTGGTTTTTGTTTTTTTTAAAACCCTCAGTGTTGTTTATCCATCCCTGCTACATTCAAACCTCTGCCATTTTAGGAAACTGCCATTTCCCTCTCAGTGTTTCTCCATCCTTACTTTACTCAAACTTCTGTCATTGTTGTAAACAATGCAGTGCAGAAACTGTCACACATAGCGAGACCCTTCTTCCCCCTTCACCAAGGCCTCCCCTTAACCTCCCAAAGTCATTTCCATCCTTTTTCTTCCTGCCCTTCCTCCCGCCACTCACGGCCTTTAGAACCTTAGGAAATAGGCAATGAATACAGCACAGTGGTGAACTAGTGCAAATACAGTATAGACAGAAGAGAAATTGCAAAATTGCCATAATTTTAATAAAACTACCCAACATCTCACCACATAAGGGAAGACTGTGACCAGGTAACCTGTCTCTGCTGCCCTATTGCTCAATGTTTATGACCAACTTCAAAGCCTCCACGTTTCCTTCTTAAGGTTATTTATCTTTAAATAAAACTCTGAACTGCTCTTCAAATAGAGGGCAAGGGGCTAATAAAGGTAGGCTGTATGAACATGCTTTGAAATATATTTTTTCAAACACAAGGCCGAAATATAATTTGGCGATATATCTACTTACCACTGATGATTTCTATACCTAGTATTTTCTCAAGTTTCATAGAGCCAGATGTGTCACCCCAAGACAAAACAGTTTTTGGCTCAGTGACTGGCATAGCTATTTCAGTCACTAAATATATTTGCTTCCATTAGCATATGCCTCAAAAATACCTGTGTTTTATTAGAAGCATTGTGCATTGATGTGATTGGGCATTAAGTTGGTTCTGGCAAATATTTTCTTACCAAAGCTTTTGGCCTTTAAGTGTTGATGGACCGCAACTGAAAAGTGGCAAGTCTTTAGCTCAAAGGTGAGGAAACTGTCCTGCAGTAGGGCCCCCACCCTCCAAGATTGATGACAAAACCAGTGATGCTACTGCTATGAGATCTTAGGTCTCAGCACATATAAATGAGTGCTCTGACCTCCCAGCAATGGTGGCACGTGTGAGGGAAAGGTACCTTTGAGGAGAGGGCTTTCCTCAACACCTCAACAGTGGGATAGAATGAGAGGTTCCTCAGACTGAGCAGAAGAAGAGAGACAGAGGTTTTCCTCCCCATCACAGCATGCAGCTGGGAGAAGTTCCCTTCCTCCCAGCCCATCACAGTGATGGGAAGGGAAAATGCCATCTCTGATTTTAAGAAAGTGATATCTGAATAGCAAAGAGTGTGGTTTTCCTCCCTAGCCTACTGCTGGGCTTGGAAGAGGAACCTCTCCTCCAGCTTAGCATGATGTTGATCTGCAGTAAAGAGAGGTCGTTGTGCTCATTGGGATGGAGAGGAGATCAGAGGGAGGCTGTGGAGGGGTAAGTCAGGGTGTCAGTGGCCCTGCAAGGCTGCCAACCCAGGGCTCCACTAATCTTGCCACCGTCACTGTGGGAATGCCACGGACTGCATCTCCCTGCACGAGGCATCACTATTGGACTTTATTTTCTTTAAGTAATGTTGTGAAGGTTGTGTGTCAGCCCCAGTCTCTGCCTAGCAGTAGCGATATTCCAGGGGGGTTCCAGGCACTTACCCGGGTTCTGTTTCTGTTGGGAAAATCAAAGCACAATGGAAGCTAGTGTCTTTACGATATAAGGTTTATTGTACACCTGCTTACATCTTCAATGCAGGGAGTGCCTGTGTGTTAGCTAAATTCAGTAATTTATCCTGAAAATGAATATGTTCTTCTTAAATGCTTTTATGTAATGTAATGCACAGCACCAACCTATGTTTCTTTACTTAGATGTCAGTCAAGCTGTGCTCAAAGAGTAATACTTAGAAGTACACGTGCATGGGAGTGCAACCTAGGCAGCAATTCATACTTTTCAGAGCAGGTCATCTATGTCTTATTTTCATGTGAAAAACTGCACTCTTGTTCCTTACACAGAAGTACAGGCATTAAAAAATAAAGTACTCCCACTCCAGATCCGTTTTGCCACACCAAACTTGATGTGATAACTTTCAACTGTTGCTTTTGTAATCTTTTTTAATGACTCATCTCTCCCAGATATCAGCACCTACTGCAGTTGTTTTAAAGAGCTTAATACAATTCCACCCACTTCTCCATGCACATAGCTGGGACTTGTCAAATACACCAGCATGCTAAGTAGCAAAACTTGAGATTTTAATTTATGGGGGGTAGTGATGGAATGCTTAAATTCTGGCTATTTCCACAAAGATGTATTTTTTATTTTATTTTGCTGTATTGCAGTTACAATACTGAAAACATTTTGCTTCATGTGTACTCTTAATTAAGAGGATACTAATAAGCTTCCTCTTTAAGTGGAATCCTGACTCAAATGTAATGGAGCCTCCCTTTCATTGCAAAACTTCCTTCCCTAATATTAGATTAAGAGTCCCATTCTCTATCGACTGAGCTAATCATACAATTATTTAGCATGCAATTAGGAGAGTGTTTGTAATGTCACCCTTTAATTGTCTTACTTCCATCAACACAGGTGTTGTTGTTGTTGGTTTCTCAGGACCATCCACTTCTGATACTACCCTCACTGATCTCCAATCCAAAAAGGATAGAGGTGGGAGAATCTGGGTTGGAAAACTGCCAAATCCTGAGCCCTGCTGATCTCATGCTGATGATGGCAGAAGGTGTCAGGACAGCTACAGGGAAACATAGTGTACCATTTCCGGAGTTGGCATATTTTTCACCCAGGGGTATGTTAGGGGATTCAAGTCTCAACTGGAATGTCCCCTTTTGTCTTCCCCAAATATTACAGACGTAGTTCCATTTCCCTTAAATAAGCAGGGCCAGATCATGGGGGACACACCCACCCATAACACCTCCAGTAGCATTGAAAGTATGACAGAAGATAACTCTCATAAGAAGAAAAACCTGTCCCATCAGGCAGGAGATAAAAAACTGAGGGGACTGCGCCTGCCTCCCAGAGTTCTTTGCTCTCCTGCCTCCGTCACATGGAGAGAGATGTTACCCAACCCATTTGGGTCATCAGCAACCATCTCAAATCCTCTCCCACTACATTATGCCAGCAGAATCAATGAATGGATCTGATACTAAACACTGTGGTCAGCTCAGGCAGGTTCGTGCAGAAGGAGATGGTCATTCGGTTGAACGTTAACAGCTGTAATGAGCAAGCGGACTACATTAATCTGCATCCCTAGTCTTCTCCTGTATCTATTCACCCCATGTGCTGAAATCTCCATTTGAGACTTTTGTCCAGATGCCTCTGCCACTGAAAAGCAGGTAGCAATCAGAGAAAGAGAGAGAGATCCCTTTCAATGGTAGGAATAAATGCTCAGAGCTCGGTTCCTTTGAGGACAGAGCTCTTCCTTTTCCCAGCAACAGATTCTATCACAGCTACTGTGTTCATGCACTGAAATCTATTAAAGTTATGCATGCAGCAAGTAGAGCAAGGGGAAATTTCCTACCTTTAGACAAAATGTCTGCATTTCCCAGCATCAACTATCATATCACCACCCATATCACTAGCCTTTTAACAACTTACCTCCACACTGTTACTATTCACATACTACAAACCATCCATCCATATGGCTCAGTCACCTCTGCTGAACACAGTTTAATCCAATCGTGGCAACATTTTGATTCCTATGAATGCCACGCAGCCTGGCAGACGCAGGAAGGAGCAGGAACATAAATAGAGAAAACTGAAAGGATACATCCAATTCACTCTAAAAAAAGAAGAGGAAAAGGGACATTTCAGCAAGAGCAAAGGACTGATGTTGTTCCATTTCTGACTACTGTACATTATTGTACACTATTATTAGTGTTTTTAAAGTTTATTTGTATATTGGTTTTTGGTCCAAGGGATTATCATGGAGCTTGTAAACATTCACTCATCCTTTACAGCCATTTTCAGTACAACTTTCTTATTTTAAAGCAGAGTTAAGGGACTACAGCTCCCATCATCCTTGACCATTGGTAGGGCGGCCATACATCCAGAATTTCCTGGACATAGCCGGGATTCGGCCATTGGAAACAGTGTCCGGGTGGAAATCACTGTAATGTCCAGGAAGATCCAGACATATGGCAACCCATACAACTTTTGTGTCCGAATTTTCACTTTCTGAAATATGGCAACCCTACCTTTGGGCATCCTTGGCTGGGTCTGATGGGAGTTGGGGGTCTAACAATGTCTGGAGGGTCACAGTTTCCCCACACTGTTGTGAAGCAAGACCTATTGCATTCCGTATCTAGTAGTTGTTAATGTCTTTTGCTATGCTTTGGATGAAGCAAAGATGCACAGGCCTAAACTATGGGAAATCCTACTGAGCAGCCCTCTTTTGAGTGGGAGCTTCCACCAGATGCTGGTCTCACACTTTTAAAGCTACCTTCTGCAGGTAGACTTTGATTGTTTTCGGTGAAAGTGGGCAGCTGAATTGTTTTGCACTTCTGCCAAATTGCTGGAAGACACATAAGTCCTGGCTGTGTGTCAGTCATCACATTTCTGCTGGTGTGTTATGAGGCGATCCAGTGTTAAAAATAGCCATGGCATTCCTCCTTGAACGTGTATCTTTCTGCATGTCGGGCATCATAATGTGAACACACGTGCATCTGCATTTTATGATCTTGATGGTTCAATTCACTGGCTCTGCTTTTTATATACAGTTATACAGTTTATATAGATATTTCTTTTCCTGACAGTGTTTGTATGGTTTTGTCATGGCCTTTGGCTAGTACAATAAAGCTTATTTTGTTTTTTGACCATAATGCACACAGTGAAAGCCCCAACATGCGTATGTGAAGCTGCCACCCATTTAAGAAAGCACATTTCCTAAAAATCTGCCTGCCTTATTCTAAGCACTGCCTCCTAATACCAGTTTTGTCTGAATTGTGATTATAACACAATCAACAGATGCGGCTATATCTCTATTTCTGAATGATCATCTATTGGCTGAAAGATGGAGTCTAATGTACAATTTGCACCACCCCATGGAGACTGGCCTTGCTTGAAGCTGCTGGCTTGTTCAATCTAAAAGGGTTGAAAAGTGTGGTACATCGTATCATGCATGTTTCTATTTTAATTGCTTGTAACACAGAAAACAAGTAAATGATATAACAAATTGAACTGTTAATTCCCAAGAGATGAGCTAGTGAAAGTAAAATTAACATATAATATCTGCAGAATTCTGGCAGTATCTCAAGCTAGGATGATAATGGAGGAGGAAAGAACAAACTGTGGGAAAGAAAAGAACATCTGTCCTTTACTAGAGAGATGATTTGTCATCTCAGTATTTTTAGATTTGTGAGTTTCAAAGATTCTTTCAAAGTGCTATATTTATCTAATGACATAGGCAGAGCTTACATTCAGATGTTGGACCTCTCCTGGTGTCCCAATAGAAACATCCAAAAGTTGGGAGCAAGTTATCAAAGCTCTCCTTTAGCTTTTGCTCAATTTCTCCTCAATTTCCGAGGCAGCTACAAAGCTAGAATTCTATACATGTGGAATAATACAGACTTGAGCCACCTGTGTACTTGCTTAATACCCAATGACTTAAATGTTGATGTCTTTTGATAAAAATAAATCCAAAGGTCAAATATCTGCACTCTATCATGGTGTAAATGTTTCAGACTAATAGGTCTATGATATAATAAATCATATGAAAGCTTTCTAAAAAAAGAGAAGAGTTTGTATTTGGTTCAATATCATACTTACCACTCTACTGAAATACTTGTCCAAAACCTCCACAAAATTATGAATGAGTTCATAGACAGCCATTTCATTCTGAAAATCAGTTGGAACATCAGAGAAACCAGTGATCTGTTAACTTTTCTACATTGCTTATAAAGCTCACAGTTGTGATTTTTGTTTTAAGTTTTAGGAAACAAAACGAATAGTCTGATCATTAGACCTTAAAATTCACTGCACCAGAAGTATAAATTCAAAAGAGTGTACCAGGGCAGCATTACAAACAATAACACAATGAATTTCACATCAGGTTTAATTGCATGCAGACCATGCCAATGCTGATGTTTGTGCTCAGAATGGCCTGGAACCCATGATTGGCAGGGGGCACTGCTTCGTGTCCTGCAGGCAGGCATGGCTGGCTGTGTGGTGACACAGGACAGGGCTTCCTCTGTAGTAGAACCTGTATTATGGAACTCTTTCCCTGGCAAAATGGATGGTAGCATCCTAGCTGGGATTTTACTGCCAAGTTAAAACATACTTAATGTTCTGGGCTTTTGGAAGAAGCCAGGAGAGACTGACCAAGACCTCAGGCTTATTTTATGCTGCTATGTTTTATTGATGATTGATATTATTGATTGTTGTGTTTCACTGTCGTTTTATGTCGTATGATGTTTTATATTGTGCTTGAAAATTGTCTTTTGATGACTGTTATGTGATGAAAGGCAGTCCAGAAAGGTTGTAAATACATACATGAATAAAACAATTTCTCAAGGGTGCTTCCTTTGTAAACAGGTCACTGAGATATCGCTAGTGGGTTGTGAGTAACAGGGTTTTTTTTTTAGCTTATCAGATTTCCCCTCAAAATAATAAATTCATATTACATGAGGAAAAAATACGGGCTGGCTTTTTGATGACGACCTTGTATGGGTGCTGTAAAAGGTTTGCTTGCATGTGGTGTACCAATCCAACGATAAACACCCACCTGGAAGCACCCTGGTCTCTGGTCAAGTCTCTATTTGCAGGGTCTTGATTACAAAAGCTCATGACACCCTGCTTGTCTTTGAGGTGCCATAGGGTTCTTGGTTTTGCTGAAAGGGACTATACTGCATTTCCTTCATCTCTTATTATGCAACTACATTGTGGGAGAGCTAGATATTGCAGAGTGAAGGACACAATATAAGGAACTGGATCACATATGGAAACCAGGAAGAAACTGAAGCAATGGGCATATATCAGGTTCGGTATTTATCTTTAGTTCATAGATCAATATTTGTTTTTTCTTTACATAGTTAAGAAATAAACACCTACCTCGGTTTCATTAATTCCAACCACTATGAAAAGAGCAGCATATTGCCTGTACACCAGCTTAAAATCTTTGTATTCAATAAAGGAACACTAAAAAAAAGACATAGATAAAATTTGATGGATGACACATTTTTGTAGATATTTATCTGCTTATTGAATATTTCATCTGGACAGTTTTTAGGTTATGCAGGCTAAGTAAGTTATTAAAGGGCAGAACAATCGATGCCAATATTGTTTTTATATGCCAGTTCTAAAAATGCCCTGTTTACATATAAAACAAGGATGGGTGGAGGTTTGTTCTCTACTTGTAAAACAGCCCACTGACGTGTGTTTTGTGTGTAACAAAACCAGCCCCCTCCTTCCTTACTTTGTTGCACTCCGTTGCCTTAAGCAGTTTCTCCCAGCCCAGGTCTTTCATTGGAGCTCAACTGAGAGAAAACTGCTTAAAACAAAGAAGAGCCAGTAAAGTTGTGCTCTCCTTACTTAATGTCATCTGTTCCTCACATGCTTTCCCACCCCTTGTTTTTAAGTAAACGACATATCGCTCACACACCACTATCACATCTAGCTTGATCCTTAAAAGAACCTGAGCTGACTCAAAGTCAATGTCATAGCCTTTGCTAGGATCCTGAAACTATCCTGGTGCCTAGAGTACAGTGGTACCTCGTGTTACGTACTTAATCTGTTCCGGAGGTCCGCTCGTAACCAGAAACCATTTGTAACATGAGACACACTTTTGCTAATGGTGCCTCCCGCTGCTGCCGCACTGCCGGAGCACGACTTCCGCTCGCATGCCGGGGCAAAGTTCACAACAAGGGGCATCTACTTCCGGGTTAGTGGAGCGCATAACCTGAAGCATTTGTAAGGAGGACAGTACGTAACACGAGGTACCACTGTACACACACCCAAAGTTTTCCACTGTCTTGCTGAAATGAAAAGGGTTTCAAAATTATTTTGTCTCTGTTACCTTAGCAACAGTTTGCAGATGAAGGAAGGATTGGCTAACAATAAAAAAGATGGTTTTCTTGACACAGCACATATCTCTATATGGAGTGGACCTATATGAATTAACATATTAGAGCATTTATTGGCAGTGCTATTTTTCTAGGGAAAGAGGTGCTGGAACTCACCATAAACATCTCCCTTGTTTTCTTAGAATGGCAATGGTGCCCACCTGAGAGGTGCCAAGACTGAGTTCCTATGAGTTCCCCCTGAAAAGGGCCCCCAGATGTTGTTAGACTACAACTCCCATTGTCCCTAGCCAGCAGGGGCAGTGGTGAGGGATGGGAGTTGTAGTCCAAAAACATCAGGAGGTCCAAAGTTGGGAGCCACCACATTAGGGGGTGAACTGAAGAAATCATCATACTATATATATGGGCACAAATAGCACCTAACATGCAGCATTCAAGAGTTAATTTTTAAACAACATAAATTGGTGGGAGAGTGCCATTTAAAAAGCAAAGGGGTTGTACAGGCAAGGGATGCTGAACCATCTGCACCGCTGCCCCATTCCATCTTCCTGAGGTTATTCCCCCCCCCCCCCAGCCACGCTCTGATGTTGGAAGTTGGGACAAAAGTGGCTGTGGGGAAGAGCAGAGATTAGGTGGAGATTCCAACATCTTGTGTGCACACACCTTTTGCATGCCAAATCCCATTCAAATACACACACTTGTGCTATACACAGAATGTACCCCTGCTGTGAACTTGGTGAAGGCTCAAGTTCAAAGTCATAGGTCTGCCCCAATCAGATTGTTTGACCCTAAAATGTCTACATAAAAAGACATACTTGCTCCTTTGAACGGGAAAGGCAATGCTTGATTACTTCAGCTTCTAGTATTGTCCGTTTATGAAGGTCCATGTATTCATAATATCGAGAGAGTCTTGTTTGCCCTTGCTTGTTCACCATAAGAAAAAACTTGATCATGATTCGTTGTCTGCTCTTTCAAGGCTAGATGGTCAAAACTGAAATTGAGATTAAATAAAACTGTAAGGAAATTAACAGCTTCATCGTTTGAATTGGCACTGTGTTAAGGACAACCTTTTCTAGGCTATGACTGTGGGTTCAGGTGAACGAGGCTTCTAAAGCCACATAAAACATCCCAGCCAGCTGCCTGTAGGTGATCCATGCTGGGATGAAGCTTTAGATGTGCCCCCCTCAACATTTGCTATAAAATGCTTTACTAGCATATAAAGTATAAGCAGACATTTCCCAGAATGAAACCCCTCCCACTCTGCAAATTCCAGCAAGGAGATATGTTTAGCAGGCATGTGGGAGGAAATGCATAGCTAGTTACTGTGGAAAAATAGTGTTCTGCAGAAAATTGAAAAGCTAGAAATTAGAACTGTGGGCATTTGCCCCCCTCCTTCTGCATTAATGTGCCAACCACCAAAAGATGGGGAGGGGAGAGCAAGGTGCATTTATTCTAAAGCCTATTATAATGGCATATTATAGTATCGGGCTATTTTTATAATATATTGCCATTAATTCTAGATGTATTCTTCAGCATTTCTTAACCCCAAGCATATAAAGCTCATAAAGATAAAAGGCAGAAATTGGTAATACCCTATCATAATTGCCTAGGACATTGCTCTTTGTTCAGTATCTAACTCACATGGTCTAATCCTCACTCAGTGATTAAGTTCACTATGTGGTTTTGGGGAAATCACTCTATCTCAGCCTAACCTGCCTCACAGAGTGACGCCCCCCTTACCCTTACCTGCATGGGGGAGTTAACAAGCAACTTTTAAAAAGTGAAGGGTCGAAGAAGCCACACATCTATGTTTTTTGCCATTCCAGACTACACTGGAACCTAGTGAGATCCATGCCATCAGTCAAGGTTTGCAAAAATTCCTTTATAAAGGCGGAAATTAGCCAAGCACAGAACTACTCCAGGGTCACTTTCATGACCCACGAATGAAATAATCATGAGGCATTATCCTGTTAATTTTGCAGACAAATTTCATCATCTACCTACCACCCAGACACTATCATGCTATGTTTTAACATGTCATGTGTTGGGCCAGTCCCTCGCCTAGTTCAAGCAAGCTAAATGAACTATTGTTCCCACACCACCCCTCTCTAGGCACTCCTCCACAGCAGCAACCTCAGTATCAAGCAGCAGCAGTGAATCTATTGCTCGCAATGCGGTGAACAAGCCTCTCATTTGTTCCACTAATTCTGAACTGAATTGCTCCCATGAATACCCTTTTAGCATGAGTAATTGTTGCAAAATTCAGTCTGTAGACAGGTGTGATGGTTTCATTTCCCCAGCCTGGTTAAGATGATAAGTCATCAGCTTTACCCATGTTAAAGTAATAATAACAAATGGCTGCTTATATTTTTATAACTCAGTGTTCAACTTAACTTTGGATTCTAAAGGCTAAATACAGTTTAGATGAACCTTTATCAGTTCTTCAAGGAAGCCCTAGTTCAATAGTTTAAGCCCATAGTTTTCATTCATAACTTTTCCATTTGTATGTAGTATTTTGTGGTAACACAATGGCCCTGTTCACACATCACAGTAAACCATAGTTAATGGTATATGTGCCTAAGAGGGCTCCTTTGCTCCTCCCTGCTTGTGCATAGAAGAATTTCCTGCTTTGCATCATGTCTGAAACAGGGATCGTGTTTGTTTCACTTCCAGAAACCAAAATCAGCTAAGAACAACCCTTGTTGTGCTTTTTAAATCACTTTTTGCCTAGTTTATCATCTTCCAGAAAGAACAAATGTCTAAAGGTATGCTGTTACCTTTAGGTAGCCGTGTTGGTCTGCCATAGTCAAAACAAAAAAAATTCCTTCCAGTAGCACCTTAAATACAAAGGTATGCTGTAAGTCTTTCACAGCCTAATCTGATGAAGAATAATTAGAAAATTAGTTTCCCGGATAGTTTAGTAGAAATAAGCTGGGATCTAAAGAGTTGTGTGTGAGTGAAACACTGCCGTGCGTGGGGGGTGTGTGTGTGTGTGTCACAAATTCCAGCACTGATGCATCTGTGAAAGATCTGTGGAAGATCTCTAAACCATCAGGGGCTTTTGGGAAGCCACAAGAGCTGCAGGGGGAAACAGGGCAGAACAAGCAGGAATATATGTGGAACACCACTCCCAGCTGCTTTGATCCCGCCCTGCTGTTTGTAACTAATGGGTCCATCCCATCCTGATTTGGTCTTCTGGCACTGTAACTAACTTTAATTCAAGTCAAGTCATTTTATTACGGTCAGTGACCAGTATTAAGAACTTTAATTAACTATATTCAAGTTTGGATGTTCTCTCCTCTCTAGAGGCAAGAACGCTAAAATACAGTGGTACCTCTGGTTACAGAGGCTTCAGCTTACAGACTCTGCTAACCCAAAAATAGTACCTCGGGTTAAGAACTTTACTTCAGGATGAGAACAGAAATCATGCCGCGGCAGCATGGCGGCAGCAAGAAGCCCCATTAGCTAAAGTGGTACCTCATGTTAAGAACAGTTTCAGGTTAAGAACGGACCTCCAGAACGAATTAAGTTCTTAACCCGATGTGTATCAGTTACCTGTACCATTATGGATTTCATTATTTTGTGCATGTGTATTTAAGGTGGTGCCCACGAGAGTCATTGTATACATTTCCTATTGAAGACCCTATAATTTTTCCAAGAACTGGAGATGGCACTATAGTTACTGTAGACCTGCTCAATGTTCCTGTCCTGCCATAGTATCTAGTCAAACTGGTTTTACAAACTTCTAATGCATTTCAAAGACTAGTTCTAATGACACAACCAGCACAACTTTAATAGAAATGTATACTGTACATTGTTATGGCTGGCAGTATAGCAGTTTACTCATATATGTACATGTATATATAAATATAAATATAGATACAGATACACACACACACACACACACACACACACTTAAAAATACAAAGCTCCTCTTTTTCAAGAACATGCTTCCATTAAGAAATTTCATTCAAGACAGAAATTGACTAAACCAGGCACTCCAGTCAAACCGCTGTCTTGGCAACACTGAAATAATTTCACTGGGACGCAAGCCTGGGCAGTGCGTATGGGGGTCCTGGGCAGCCCAGATGACAAGACCCCCTTCTCGGCCTCACTGATGTGGTCCAAAGGAAAGCAGAGCAATACATTTGGTACCATCTTGGCTGCAGAAGTTGCCAGGAGGTGGCATACAAAGCACCACCCAACCATCTTAGGGACTCCACTCCGGATTTCTGTAGGGTTTACTCCTTAGCCTTTTCTTCTCCTGAAGGAGTATCTCCACCCCCATTGTTCTGCCCGGACACTGAGGTCCAGCGCTGAGGGCCTTCTGAGGGTTCACTCACTGCAAGTAGCGAAGTTACAGGGAACCAGGCAGAGGGCCTTCTCGGTAGTGGCACCCGCCCTGTGGAACACCCTCCCATCAGATGTCAAAGAAATAAACAACTATCTGACTTTTAGAAGACATCTGAAGGCAGCCCTATTTAGGGAAGCTTTTATATTTGATTAATTATTGTATTTTAATATTTTGTTGGAAGCTGCCTAGAGTGGCTGGGGAAACCCAGCCAGATGGGTAGGGTATAAATAATAAATAATTATTATTATCATCATCACAATGCAGCAGAGGTTTGGGGTCAGTGTTTCCTTCTGCTACATGGGCTACCTTCCCAGGTTGTCGAGCCCCATCTGCCCCTCATTTCCCTCTACAGCACATGCAGAAACTGCCTTCTTGACCATTGTATCCACTATTGGTCTCGTCCACTCAATATGATGGAACCTGTCTTTGCATGCAGAGGAGATCCCTAACACACCAAGGGTTTGAGACCAATCAGCTACCCTCACCTGGTTTTGTCAGCCTGGGTTATGGCCAGTGCTATATGCTGACAGCTTCTAGGAGCCACAGATGAGAGCTAAGTGCAGGGTGGAGACCAAAGGTGGACAAACTACCCCAAAAGGAACACAACCAGATGTCTCCCACCAGATGTACCACCCCTCCTCAAACATCCCCTCTGGTAAATATAATTTCACCATACCATTGACTTGTTCTAAAAAAGGTAAAGGACCCCTGACAGTTAAGTCAAGTCGCGAATGACTCTGGGGTTGCGGCGCTCATCTCGCTTTACTGGCCAAGGGAGCTGACATTTGTCCGCAAACAGTATTCCTGGGTCATGTGGCCAGCCGCTTCTGGTGCAATGGAACACTGAAACCAGAGCAGCACACAGAAACGCCGTTTACCTTCCTGCCGGAGTGGTACCTATTTATCTACTTGCACTTTGATGTGCTTTCGAACTGTTAGGTTGACAGGAGCTGGAACCGAGCAACAGGAGCTCACCCGTAGCGGGGATTCGAACCGCCAACCTTCCAATCAGCAAGCCCTAGACTCAGTGGTTTAGACCACAGCGCCACCTTGTCCCCAGACTTGTTCTAGGATTGTCCCAAACAGCTTTATTTAATAGGCTTTCTCTTTACTTCCCCAGACCCTAGAGAGGCTCAACCCCAGTTTTATTTGTACAGTTATCAAACTACCCAGAGTAATTGGATTGGGGCGAATGTCACAGTAACATTATAAAAGAAATCAACTATGATTATAAGTACTGGACAGAGGCAGAAGGGCCAATTCCAATTGGTTTCAAATTGAAGATATAGTCATATCTTGGATCCCGAATGACCTGGAACTCAGCCGTTTTGGCTCCCGAACGCTGCAAACCCGGAAGTGATCATTCCGGTTTGTGAACGTTCTTTTGGAACCCGAACGTCCAACAGGATTTCCGCGGCTTGCGGTTGGCTGCAGGAGCTTCCTGCAGTCAAGCAGATGCCACAAATTAGTTTTCTAACATTTTGGAAGTCGAATGGACTTCCGGAACGGATTCCGTTTGACTTCCAAGGTACGACTACTGATGAGAGAACCAACCTGTAATATTTCCCACTGCATTTGCATTATACATAGTAACTATAGCCACCATTGTCTGATTCACTGCTGGCTCTGCTCTGAAGTACAGTATTTTACACTCTCTCA